GGTAAGCCTTAGCTTTGGCTGAGGACTTAGTGGGCTGGTAGAGGTAAAATGACCTGCTAAAGCTAAATCCCTTACTCTGATAAAAAGTAATCATAGTATCACACCTTCACATTATTCTGTCTACTTTTGATACCGTTTAGGTAACTGAATCCATTATTTTTGTATAGGTTAAATTTTGAAGCTTTGTTTTTGAAGATACTTAAGTTAGAGAATCTCAGTGAAAATAGAATTTGTATCTAATGAGTTTGTGGGCTAGATTCTGAGAGTGGTCAGAAGCGCAGTATATATGGATATATTATTCATATATAATTATGGATAAATATCCATTTATTCTTTAGTTCAGGTACTTGCATCTTTTTTTGATAGCACTTGGAAAACAATAATATCACCTGAACAGATACGCAGTGGCCTAAAAACAACAACAGAAACATCCCCTTATGAAAAAAATTAGAACGCAATCAAAACTGCAACTACAAACCAAGAACTCAACTCCTCCCACCCAAAGTCTTTCCTAAAATTCTCAAATTCTACAGAGCTATTAAGTTAAAACATATCGCTGATCTTACAGATTTTATTTTCTTTCAGATGATGATATCAAATACAGCATATTTTTAACCACAGACTATTTGAAGTGAAATTACTGATTTAAATTTTTAGAAATTATAAATAGTTTGCATATAACAGTTAATACAGCATAAAAATGAGAAATGTATGTGAGGCTATTGTTTCCATTTTCTATGCTTTTCTCAGGAAAAAGGTATTTTATATAGTGCAGCTTGGAGTTTTTTCAGAAAGTAAGATATAATTCAGTTTCGGCACAGAATTGCCTTCTGCAGAGATCTTAAATTTCCACTTTTTTTTTTTTTTTTTTCTCCAAAGTGTACATGATGGCAGAGGCAGGAACAGGAGACCGTAGGCAAAATCTTTGCAAAACTTGAGGAAATTGTGCCTGTCTGTCAGGCTTATTGAATCTGTTTGCTGCTGTCATGTGTGATGGCATTGGTTTTACCACCCGGACCTTTTGGTCATACTATTTATGGCTTCTCTAGTACTTCAGTTCTAGGGGTTCCTCACCTGGTGCTGTTTCTTCACCCTCCAGGCTAAGTCCAACCTGTGTGCTTAAGGCTGTCTTCACAGTCCTCGGGGTTCCTCATCTGGTGCTGTTTCTTCACCCTCCAGGCTAAGTCCAACCTGTGTGCTTAGGGCTGTCTTCACAGTCCTCAAGAGCTGACCGCGGTTAGAGGAGTGCTCTCCTGCAGCGTGTTAGGCTCTGAGCCTGAGTTCGGGATGGAAGCTGAAGGGCTCTTTGGTTTAAGTATAAATTTCAGTGGCTGTTTGCTCTCAGACTTCTTGAGCCCTCAACCATGAGGAGACTGGGATATGGGGGGAGCTGGCCAGGTAGGAAGGAGTCTGTTGACTATTGTGAAGGCGTCAGCCAAACTAATGAGAAAACCAGGTAAGCTCCCAGGAGGCATACATCCTCCATAGGGCAGTCCGCGCTCCTGGTGGATAGACACATCAGAAAAGGCTGCAGACCCCTGATTTACAGAGGTATTTTTATTGGGACAGTTACAACCTTTGCTACTGCTGGCAAATCTCACTTGAGCTGCCTCATTTCAGAGCGGCTGAGAAATGGTTGTATTCAAATCCCACGTACTGTTGTATGTGGCACTGGGAGCCCTCCGGTTATGTGCCTGTTGCCAGCTGCCACCTATTAGTGTACGTGCCTCCTTGTCATTCCTGTATGGCTCACCTGTCAGGTTGTGCCCTTGATCAAAGTTCGGAGGCAGTGTGTTGTGCTTCCGTTTCACCGCAAGTGCTGTTTTGCAAGATGTGGTTGTCCGTGTCCTACGGTGAATTTACTGAAACATTCCCATGTGTCTCTCAGGCTGGTTAACTCCTCCTCTGTTAAAACCGTGGAGCAACTTGTTGCAGTTTTAAATCATAGCCTTAATAAAAGCTAAACAACCAAACTCATATTGCCCTAAAATCCTAGTTTATTTATTTGAATAGCCTTGTGTGCAAGTTCAACAGTTCAGCCTTGCCTCTCCTCTCCATCCCATTAGAAAGAATAAATCAAGAGTGTCACCGTATTCAAGGTGATTCCCTGTTAAAGGAAGCTGCATAATAGCATCTCTGTGCTGTGTTGTTTTTTAGGACTGTGCTGCAGCTCTTGCTATGTTTGTTAATCTTGGAAATCGCAGAGCTTTCTTTTTAGTGGCCTCTGAAGGAAACCAGTAAGAAACCTTCCCTTAAGATTTGGGGCAAACAAATCGTAGTGTTCTCCGTATTTCCTGACCCAGCTCTTCTCTCCCGTACTGCCAAGTTCACCTATGTTAACATCACCTCCCCTGTCTCCTCTGCCTGAATCTTTTGTTGGCATGGCCTTAATCTTGTACAGCATGTACAGTAATAGATTGATAGTATGTATAATAGTATGTACAGCCATGGATTTCAACTGGGGATATGCTTCTTGCTAACTAATGTGGAGAGGTGAGAACAGTTGCTGATCCCAGGGAACCTTCAAGAGTACTGACAGAGGTATTTGATACAGCATGTCAGATTCTTTCTGTGGGATTTGCATAGTCATAAATTGATTTAAATACCTGCACAGCACAAGAGCATTCAGTTAAATTAAGTATTTTT